TATCAAGTATCAGAGTTTGTGATTTCTAGACACTTTCTGTTAAACATAATTGTATTTACTACTTTTTCATTTTCTCTTCAATGAACTGTTGTGTACAAACATACAAGTTTTCTAAGCATGGTTTAAGAGCTTACATTTTCTCCTAAAGTTCTACCACTATTCTAGTGGTGTCCCAGAAACTCATAGCCTTTTCATGAACCAGCCAATTAACTGATCAGAAACAGAAGGTCAGGTGACATTGATTTAAGGGAACGTTATCTCTATCCTGGCTCATGAAGATGTGATAATTTGATATGGCATGCATATCACTGGAAACTAAAGATGAGGAATCTGAGATTTATTTTTGTTTGATCCTAGATGTAACCTGGATTATTTTTATTTTAAGCTCACCATGAGAACTTGTTTGAACTATTAAAAAAAACTGACTTTTCGACATCCCAAGCCTCTATAACTGACTTCAAACCTATACAGGAAATACCATTAAATGTCAACAAGACATTAGTTGGGGTTAGAAGAATAAACCTCAGGGTACACAAAATGTTTAAGTTTATATAAACATAAATTTATTTGTATGACTTGTTCTCTTTTCATAGCCTGGTTCACCAGGACCTGTACTTCCTGCGCAAGCACATGGGAAAATACTCACAAAACCAGATTCCCATTGGGAGGCAACAGTCATTGTATCAGAAGCTGAGAACAGTGTCCACCTAAAAACAGAGCTCCAACAAAAACAGCTATCAAATAACCCCCAAGCACTTTCAAAGAATCATCCTCCTCAGCCACATGTTCGCAGTTCATCTGAGCAACTTTCACAGAAGCTGCCTTCTACACCAGCCAAGCTGCACTGTCCTCCATCACCTCACGTAGAAAATCCTCCAAAGTCATCTACGCCCCACACACCTGTACAGCATGGTTATTTGTCACCAAAGCCTCCTTCACAGCAGCTAGGATCTCCTTATAGGCCTCACCATGCACAGTCACCTCAAGTTGGAACACCCCAGCGAGAGCCTCAGAGAAACTTTTATCCAGCAACACAGAACCTTCAAGCCAATACTCAGCAGGCGACTTCTGGAGCATTATTTACACAGACACCCTCAGGACAATCTTCAGCAGCATACAGTCAGTTTACCCAACAAAGTCTGAACAGCACGGCCCCGCCCCCTCCACCCCCTCCGCCTCCCTCTTCTTCGTCTTATTATCAAAACCAGCAGCCCTCTGCAAACTTTCAAAATTATAGTCAGCTCAAAGGTAGTCTTTCTCAACAAACTGTGTTTACATCAGGACCAAATCAAGCACTTCCTGGCACCACAAGCCAGCAAACAGTTCCAGGACACCATGTTACTCCGGGGCATTTTTTGCCCTCTCAGAACCCTACTATTCACCATCAAACGTCTGCTGCTGTCCCACCCCCTCCTCCTCCGCCACCTGCTCCAGGACCACACCTTGTACAACAGCCGACTTCCCATCAGCAACACTCTGTAGCACATGTAGTGGGGCCTGTTCATGCTGTCACTCCTGGGTCGCATATTCATTCTCAAACTGCTGGACACCATTTGCCACCACCTCCTCCCCCTCCTGGTCCCGCCCCTCATCACCATCCCCCACCCCATCCCTCCACAGGACTCCAAGGTCTACAAGCACAACACCAGCATGTTGTAAGTTCAGCACCCCCACCCCCCCCTCCACCGCCACCTTCCGGTGTTTTGGCTTCTGGGCATCACACCACATCGGGTCAAGCCTTACACCACCCACCTCATCAAGGACCTCCACTTTTTCCTTCAAGTGCTCATCCAGCTGTACCACCGTATCCCTCACAAGCTACACATCACACGACTTTGGGACCGGGACCCCAGCACCAGCCTTCTGGCACAGGGCCACACTGTCCGTTACCTGTTGCAGGTCCTCATCTCCAGCCCCAAGGACTAAACAGTATTCCAACACCGACTGCATCAGGGTTCTGTCCTCATCCTGGCTCTGTGGCCCTGCCACATGGGGTTCAAGGACCTCAGCAGGCATCTCCAGTGCCTGGACAGATTCCAATTCACAGAGCACAGGTGCCACCAACATTTCAGAACAATTACCATGGTTCAGGGTGGCATTAAAATGGACTCCAAAAACATTTTTTTAAATGTTCTGTAAGATAAACTGTATATTTCATATGTACCTGTTAAGGTACTTTTTAAAGCTTGTACATGAAACTTTGTATAAAAAAAAACACCAGTGCTCTTTCATTGTATTTTTTTCCCATTTTTGCTTTTTAAAATTCCTTTCAAAATGTGCTGTTAAGCCAGTATTAGATATCTTTATTTTGTTAATGAACATTCCAGCAGTTTTTCTGGCGGTAGATTTGATGCTACATGACCTTTAAATTTTATTGTTGCAGTTAAATTCCTTTAGTGAATGTTTTCTATATTATTTTATACATATGCATTAAGTACACAGCTAAGTATTGGCACTATGAGGATTTTCATTTTTTTTTTTTCTGTCAGCAGTTCTGTGAGTGCATCTTAGGTATAAAAATGCAATACAGATTTTTATAGTTTGGTGTGGACATGGCTCATTTTGTTTTATCGGTTATTTGCAAGCAAAATGTAATTTAATGTATAGATGATTTCTAATGTCTCCTGACAAACTGTAAATACTGCATTTCTTTTGCGTATATAATTGCTTACAGCTTTTCTCATTTGATATATAAGCACTGTACATATGACAAGTCTTTTGCAAAACTGTGTGATCTTTGTGAAAGTAGTACAGTATATGACCTTTAATTTCTTTTTTATTTTAAATATACTGTCACATTGAAGCACTGGTTGGGCATTTTAATTCATGTTAATAAATCACAATTATGTCAGTTTTATCAAATTGTCCTGTACAACTTCTAAGATCGGGGTCTGCATAAGTGTTTCTACAAAAGTTGTAGTTTTCAAATATAATTTGTAAGGAGCCTTCAGTTTTCTTTAGTGACTACTACCTCAGACGGTAGCTAGCAACAGGAGGCAGTAAGTGGTTGTTCCTGTAATGGTTCTTTCTTGCCATTTTTGCAAGAGCCATATAGAAAACTATTTAAAAAGTCATGCTGTATAACTTTACTTAGTATCTGACATCATACAGAACAAATCCAGACCACTAATGCATTACATGTGATACACTTAGATTGTAACTTACTACTGTTCAAAAATATGGGTAATCTGCTTAAAACACAGGCATATCTAATTTGCACATTTTAAAATATAAGTGAAATGTCCTATTATTCAAAATGATTTGGATTAAGTATATTTATATTCCACAGTAAGAACACTGTGTATCGACACATCTTCATCACCCAGTTACTTGACATAATTTGGCACAGTATACAAATTTTGTACATCAGAGAAAAAAGTAAACAGACTTAAAAATGACTGAGATTTGGTGGTAATTTAAGTCATATTTTGTACTTTTAATTTCCATTTTCTTTTGAAAATTAACTAATGGGGCATTAACACAGCTCGTTTAGGGCTCGATCCTAATCAGTTTCAAGTTTTAGAGGAACCCAGGTCAACTTTGCCATCCTTGACTTGTCAAACAAAATTCTACATGCGGTAGTCACTAAAAAACATTTGTCTGAGAAGAAATGTCTTTATATCATCCATCCCCTGATAGTTTCGAACGCAGAATAAAGTTAATTAGCATGGGAAATATCAATATTCACCTCTTTAAAAGAACTATCCTTCTAAGCATTTTAAATTCCCCCCAGTTTTAAATTTGCCTACTACACAAATAATATGTATACAGCAGCTTTTGTTTAAACTGCAGAATCCTATATAAATCTTTGACTCTTTGATAAAGGATATACTCTCAAATGCTGTCCTCTACCAAAATTTTATTAAAGTTATTTTAAAAAGAGAAAAAAAGTGGAATCTAAGAAATAATGTGAACTGCATGCAGTTCTCTACTCCAATGGAAAGTGTCCTTACTTTATCCTGTTAACTAGTTATGTATGGTCCAGGTGTAGGAAGAGGCAAGTTAGTAAATCAGTTTTCACCTAAAAGGTGTATGCCTTTTTGAAGCTCTTAAATCCACTTTTTCTGTCTGCCAAATTCCAGACAGCTAACTTCTCTGAATCTGCTATAATCACATACATTATCCATTTTTCATGAAGACTTCACATGGACTAGAGAAAGGAAAAGATAGGACATTCAACTAAAGTCACTGAGCTGGTTATGTTTAGCATAACCAGTGGTTCTCATTTAGCTTATATGCATTCTTTACCAACAAGTCACCAAGAATCTGCTAAAACCATACTATACCTAATACAAATGTATATTCCTTCTAGAACAATTATTTCTATACTGTAAACTAGTTAGGCTGTTTGATCGTAAGGGACACCCTTAAAAATTCATAATTAATCTGGTTTGTTTTCCAACATGAGCTAAAATTAGACATTTCATTCAAGTGTACTATCACCCTGGTAAAAATTCTTAGACACTTAGAGAAGAAATAAATGTACTCTGTGGTTTTTGTAAGAATGTTTCCTATGGAAATCATGAATAGTATCACTGGTGTACGGCCACCATCTGTCATAGAATCTACATGGTAACCTATAGCTTCATTAAAAAAATTTAGCATGCACGTTTCATAATGAAATGAATGAATGGTACATTCTACCTCAGTGATATGTGATATAATGCTAATTCCTAAAAGGATTATGTGTCTTGTTCCCTGACAGTGAATGCTGTTAAAAAAAGAAAATTTGCAATGCTCAAACAAAATGCAATTAGTATGTTTTTGATGAAATATGGATGAAAAGAGATCACTGAAATTCCAGATAATGAATTGCTACTGTAGCATCTTTCCTAAATCTTTTCTGCCCTTAAAAAACAATAAATGATTTCCTTATAATGAGCCTTAATGCATGTTCCACAACTACATTTGCTACAACAGGAATGTTGGTACCTCCTTTAGTTTTGGTGACACTACACTGAGAGCAAATGTTCAAATACAGGGCAATGACCAAGGCAATGTCTGGAAAAAAAAACCAAAACACTTTAATTTTTAAGACAACTGCAAGCACCTCAAACAATGGATTATTGTTACAACACTTGTTAGCTTTTCACAATCTAGTTATTGCAAAGGCATATGGATGTTAATGGACAAAGTCAAAAACGAGGCACCTTAATGAATGTAAAATTTAAAATAAAAAGACATTCAATCCACTGACTTCTAAAAGAGGCTAAATATACCTCTATATATTACATTCTAAAATTGTATTGCCTACTATGGTTTGTGTCCTGGATTCTACAATTTTAAGGAAATGCATAAACAAAACTGTACAACCTGCAAAGGGAAAATCATTTTCTCAACTTCAATTCATGGAAAGACAATGAAAAAGCTTAGTAAAAAGTCTGTCGTAGCCACACATAAAGCTGCCCATGGAATGAATGTGGTCACTGTTACCTTGGAGCTAAGGAGTATTCTGCCCACTGCATTGCAAACTGTATGTACCATACCTTGTGTTTTAGACAAACACCATCATGCTTTCCCAAAAATATATATAATGTTTTTCATTCCACACACTGAACATGTTTCTCTTGTCCAATTTAATCTACGTAGAGTTTAACTTACAGTGCTTGGAGGAAGCAACACCACATGGTACTGGGCCATCACATTTTTAAAGGGAAATCACTTTTTCTTTAAAATTACTTTTAAAAATACGCAAAAATACGAATGGGACTGCTTAATTATAATACATATTTTAGAATAAAAAGCATGTCTTTTCTTCCTTTAAAGTGCCATATAGGGAATGACATCTTGTAACCCAGAGCCACTTTGTTTAAAATCCAATGTAAAAGGACTATTATGGAATGAAAAGTTTGCACAACGCCTTGGAGCAGTTAAAGTCTGCTACATGCAACATAGGCTACAAAGCACTCAAGACTTGGTAGCTTTTCTGAAATTTGAGTCCCCATCCCATATTTAATGGAAATTAACATTTACAAGGTGCATTTACATACACTATAATACAGGAATGATGTCCCTTTGCCAGAAGATAAAATTGTACATTTCCTTGCTATTTCCTGGTTCCAACTTGATAATTTCTTAAGATTGTAAATTATATAGTACTCAGCTAAAATATTTCTTCATAAATAGTTACAAAACCTGCCAAAACACAAATGGGAAAGTATTTTTCGTTCAAAAAAAATGATATTCGAATGTCACACAACACAAGAAACAATGCTTAGAGACATGTTATTGTTTCCAGAAGAAAATGGTCAGTAAACTACTTAGCTGAAGACAAAAGACTACCCTTCCCCAGGATCACAGTGCACAAAAAGCAAAATGTCAAACAACAGTACCTCAAAGCAAAATAAAGGTCTGAGGATGAAGCCAGCTCACTTGTAATCCTGATAAAGAATGAGAGTCACCGTTTAGGTCCAATGTACTGGGAACATTTGCTAGCTCAGAATGCTATATTGGTAGAGTACGCTACGAATTCAACCAAGGATGCCGAAGGCATTCGCCAGCGGAGGCTCGTTTTTCTGGAACCATTTCTAGCATCGGGATCAGGAAATCTGTGAACTGTGCAGCATCTTCATGGGGCCAGCCGTACTTTTCCACAAGTACATCAAAGAGGCTCCACGGCTTCAGCTTGGTAATGTGCCGCAGTTCTCCTATAGGGGAAAGACATACCAATGTCAAAAAAACTCCAAATTTGTATTTCCTATTGTTGGTCCAGCCAGGTTCTTTTCAATGAAGCAGACAACCTACCTGCTCAACACTTTATGGCAACAACAAAGGCCAACATTCCCCTAAGCAGTAACCCCTAAAGCAGTAATTAAATGTACCCATGTCATATTTCAAGTAAGCCTGGCAGATGTAGATAGGGCTTGATGATGTCCAGAATGTTTTCATTTCCAAAGGCTGAGAGAGCCACTCTCACGTCAACTTGGGCTCTTCTGCAATCTGCAGACTTGCTTAGAAAAAGCCAGATATATACCATTTGAACTCCTTCCAGGGTTGGGGAACCTGCAGCCTCTCTCAAGGCCACCTCCAGATGCCGAAATACAGCCCCTCGACCGAATCCAAACTTCACAGAACAAAACCTTTTATTAAAATTTGGGTTCAGGCAAAAGGCCGCACTCAAGGATCCAGAAGGCCACAGGTTCCCAAAGAGAACTTTCTGGATAATAGAGATGTATTATAGATCTGCACTGTCCCATATGGCAGCCACTAGTAAATTGTGGCCATTGGACACTAGAAATATGGCTATTGTGACTGAGGAGTTTAAGTTTTAATGTTCACTTTGTTCAAATTTAAATAGCCACAAGCAGCTAGTGGCTACTGTACTGGACAGCTAGAGGCAAACCCAAATCAAGCAACATTTGTGTCTTCTGCATGTTTTTTGTAAAATCTAAGATTCCAGGACATTAATTTGTAAACTTTAAAATTATACTTGCAAAATGTGCTAGCTGCAGTTAAAAAGTGTGGGTTACAGGCAGCTTTGACTGACATATCGAATGACTAACAAGCTAATAAGTGGCCTATGAACTGAATGGCCCTTTTAATAACACACAAAAAAGTTATTTTTAAGTCAAACTGCTAAAAGGTCAGGATAACTTCCATTATGAATAACTCATTTTCTTTGCCTGTTTGAAATTTTCACAGGACATCCCACCCCTGCCCATAGAGAGACCTTCTTGGGAGCCCCTCAGTGCAACCTGAGCCATCGAGAGGACAGAGGCTGCGCTGCACCACGCCCATGCCCCAGGCCACCCTCGGAGTCCGGTAGCCACAGGCACCAGGTCTCAGAGGGGAGGGTAGCTGCGGTCAAGCACCTGAGCAGCATACCTCCTGCAAGGGCCGATTTCTCTCTCCCCTGTCACCTGCTATAACTGAACTAAAAAGGTAAATATTAAATATTTTTCAGTCGAGAATCAATGCTGTGCTCACAAAGGTCTTCTCAGGAGGCCTGGTCGTTTCACCCAGTTATTCAAGTCAATTTAGAAACACCTTCTGCTTCTAACAATCACAACAAAATTCAAAGAACATTACAGAAAATTACAAAAACAAAAGAAAAATTATCTCCTATCCTACCCCACGATGGCTCTTTCCTTTTGCCTATACTCTTTCCATGTACGTTCATATGGATGCTTTGTCTAAAGAGTTGCAATCATGCTATGCATAGGATTCCGTATAAAGCATCTTTTAAGAAAGTTTCTAACTGAAGGGGCTGGGTATAAAATAGGGTTCTAGCTCCAACGTGAGGGCTGAGGATAGAGTTAAGTATTGTTTCCAGACTAGAGCTCAGGTCTGTGTTTATGAGAAAGTGGACCTGCAATCTTAGAGGTGGGAAGGGACCTCCTGTGGAAGGAAAAAGTCTCCGGAGGAACAAAGTCTGAGCAATCACTGAAGGTTTATCCCTCTAATCCACAAATTCCAGTACTAGGAATCTAGCCCAAGGAGATAAACCATGGTACTCCCATCTTACCCTCCAAATATGCTCAATGCAAAATTACACATACTTGCAAATTACAACTATCCAGTAATGGTGGTTTTTAAAAAAATCAAGGTATATACACTTGAAGAATATTATTTAATATCACTTAATAATATGGGGGAAAATCATATAGTACAATATATGGTAGTAAAAGAACAGAGTCAAAACTGTTTTGTACAATCACAAACAAGACTGATTTTAAAAATACCCATGAATATGGAAAGCAAGTGAACCAAAACACCAGGTTTGTTAGGAGGTTGTTTCTCCCAATATCCATATTTTGTGTAATATGACTATATTGATTTACACTAACTGTTGATTTCACCAGAGCAACAGTTAAAGGACACTAAGAAAGCTCACACATGACATGCTAAACAAGTTCCCTGGGAAGGGGAGAGAACTTTTTTGACATTCATCTGTCTTAGAATAAATACTTCCAGGTTTGGAAATGAATGCAACTGTCTGCTTAGAATAGCAAAAGAACCTATTTCTGAGTTTTTAAACTAAGATCCATCAACAGGCATCAAATTAAGTATAATCTTCCATGAAAAGATAAGCTTTATCACTCCCAGATGCTTAACAACTGCATAATAATAGTTATGAAAACAATACAATGTTGGGAGGCTATGAAAAACTATTTATGCATACATAACTAGGCATGTGATAAAACTGATAAAAACATTTGCAAAAAACAGCCTAAAATATGTAACTACTTTTGACCGGGTAGTCCTATACAAGAAATTGTATGTGGGAAGATGCGGTCTATAACAGCAAAATATGCAAGATAATCCCAAACACGAACAGGTACTGAACACATAGTAGTAGTGCAATTTGACAGAACACTGAATTGCCTCTAAAAAGAACAAAAATGTGGATTATGTAGATAAGTGGAAAAACTCTATAACGCCAAGTAAAAACAGGAAGATAAACTCGTCTAGATCCTGTGATTATATGTACAACCTTATCTCAATATAAGAAGTAATCCTGTCCTGTAAATAGCTGATGAGGTCACTTAAACACAAACCCCAAGCCCCCAACTCTGCATTTGTTAGCAGACAGGACAAGAGCGGGCTCTGCTGGTAAGCGCGAGCCCTCAGTCCATTCACAGCTCCAGCCCTGCACAGGATGCGCAAGAAATACCGCTACCTCCACCCCTGCCACTCGGAATAATAAATAATAATAAAATATTAAGAGAGTAAAATGTATTTTAAAAACACTTTATTATTTGCTCCTACTGTAAAGGTAGCTCCCTAACAAGTTAAAGAAATTCTACCTTGATAATTTTTTCTCTTAAGAAAATACACAAAGATGTGTTTCACAAAAACAAATTTTACAGATCGTTAGAAACTTGTGACAATTTTTATTTTAAAAGTTCCATTTCCAGCCTTTCCTTCTTAAAGAATACAGATATCACTTCACCCTTTCTGTGCCTACAAGCTGCCAATCTCAGCATCAACTCTGTCACATGTGCACGCAAACAAGAGCCGCATGCCAGGTGGGTGACTCTGTGTTAGTGCTGTTCTCCGGGAACCCTGGAGCTTCCCCATTTGCCTTGAGAAACATCTTGACAGAGCCAAGGAAAACGACAGGAAGCAGGAGGTGAGGGCGGGAGGGAGGGCTCCGCCCCCACAGTAACAGCTATGTGACAGCCACTGTGCTTGCCTGTCCCTGACTATGACATGGCTTTCCAAGGAAAAAAGTTAGGTACTTCCATTATATTTCTCTTGAATGTTATTTTAAGTAGTCTGTTAAAGAAAATATGTTATTTTGTCCATGAAATTATAATATTCCAGAATTAAACCAAGAAGCCCATGAAGTTTCATATTACATGTGGGAGGACTACAAAGGCAAGCCTTGTACCATATTTACATGAATTCTGGTATTCATAAAGCAAACCATGATATAAAAGAGATTAGGATGGATTTCAATAGTGTACACAGATAAGCAAATCTACCAAGAAATATCAGTATAAAGCAAAAGACAAAATTTAAGAACTTTAGGCTGGGCGTGGTGGCTCACGCCTGTAATCCTAGCACTCTGGGAGGCCGAGGCGGGAGGATTGCTCGAGGTCGGGAGTTTGAGACCAGCCTGAGCAAAAGTGAGGCCCTGTATTAGAAAGAAATTATCTGGACAACTAAAAATATATACAGAAAAAATTAGCGGGGCATAGTGGCATATACCTGTAGTCCCAGCTACTCGGGAGGCTGAGGCAGAAGGATTGCTTAAGCCCAGGAGTTTGAGGTTGCTGTGAGCTAGGCTGATGCCACGGCACTCTAGCCTGGGCAACAGAGTGAGACTTTGTCTCAAAAAAAAAAAAGAAAGAGAAAAAAAAATTTAAGAACTTTGAACAAATTCTTATGCAGGTAGACAAAATTCATAAACATTTGAGTTCAAAACATGTATGAACCTTACCTCATATCACATATAAAAATTAACTCAAAATGATAAATCTAACTTTAAGAGCTAAAAACCAGACAATTCTTAGAAAAGTAAATCTTCATGACCTTGAAGTACGCGATGTTTCTAGATGTGGTATCAAAAGTGCAAGTAAAAAAAAGAAATAGTATAAAATTGGACTTCATCAAAACTAAAAATTTTTGTGTGACTATCACACATGTGCATTCAAGAGAATTAAAACATATGTCCCCACAACTTGTATGTCAATGATCATAGCAGCATTATTCATAAGAGCCAAAAAGTGGAAACAAGCCAATGTCCATCATCTCATAGATGGATAAACAAAATGTGGTGTATCCGTACATATAAAAAATGGAGTACTGATTAATGCTACCACATGGATGAGCCTTAAAAAACATTATGTAAGTAAAAGAAGTCAGACACAAAAGACCACATGGAATGATTCCATTTATACAGAATGTCCACAATATGCAAATCCACAGAAACAGAAAATAGATTCATGGTTGCTGGAGGCTGGGATGGAAAGGATGAAGAGCGACGGCCAGTGAACACAGGGTTACCTTCTGAGTTAACAAAAATGTTCTAAAATTAGATATTGGTAACAGTTGTACAACTCTGTAAATATACTACTACTGAGCTGCATACTTTTTAAAGGGTGAATTGTATGGTATGTAAATTATATCTCAATAAAGTTCTTCTTAAAAAAATGAATACAAAGCATACAACAAAATAAGTTCCAAACAATGTATTAAAGTA